TCAAACTGATTTTGGGCTATAAAAACTCTATATTTTGGGTTGAAGCTTAGGTCTAAAGGCCATTAAAGGTTGAGGGGGTGATAGCCTTCTTTGTACCTTGTTTTGGAGGTCTTTGCCCTTGTGTTTCCCACCCTTGCATCATCTTTTCAGAGCTTTTAAACATTGTTTTTCAAAGCTATTTCAGTGGCTAAAAACATATTTGAAATCCAAAATTGGAGGGGTTAGCCTCCCCTCCTTGTGTCTTGCTTACTAGTCTAGCATGCTTCATGTTTTAGCCTATTATTCTAGCTTGTGTTAGCTTAATTCAGAATGTTTTAAGCTATATTTTGGGCTGTTTTGCATCTTTTTTGGGCTGGTTGTTGCTTTTGAGCTTTGTATTCATAACTGTAGTGTAAATTCCTTCACTAGCTCATTGTTTTAGGTCTTTAAACATGAGTTGCTTGAGTTGAAAGTATGTTGTAGTGTCATTTTGCATGTAATTTCAGCATATATAGCTCCATCATATTCTCATTGGGTTTCACTCTTTCAATTGCTTTTGAGAGCGTTTCAAGTTTGGGATTCTTTAAGCTTGAGATCGAAGTTTGTGCTTAATGGTTTCAATCCTCTTTTGAGGTTTACTAATCAAAGGCATGACCTCTCTCTTGCCTTACATCATCCCTTGGTTGACACTACTTTCTCTTTAGAGGACTCTCGCCAATGGACTAAATCAATTAAAGAATGAGTTGGTAACTTAAAATGAGTAAACAAAAGTGATAAGTAAAACTTGAGAGAAATAAGAATGTTATGTTGCATTGCAGGTGTTCATCGAAACATAACGTTATATTGAACACAAGGAAGATTGGAGCATTTCATACTCAAAGTGATGAAATGAGCCAATCTCCTTGGTCTCCATTTCCTTTGATCACACATGATAAGGTGGTGGTCTTGAGTCTTGTTTTTGCATACAATGAAATTGTACAACTTGGATCTTTGGCCATCATGCAATGAAATTGCTTGATTGGTCATTTTAGATCCAAGAGTGCCACGTCTTTGAGGTTTTGAGATGATAAGGAGGGGGACAGTACAAATATACCCTTGGAAAAACCTTTCTTTTGCTCTGTTTGTGCTCTGTTGCAGTGTGGTGACCCAGAGCATCAGTGGCTGGCAGTGCCTCATCAGTGGCCGGCAATGCCTCATTTCTGGCCGGCAAGGCACCCTTTTGGCCAGCAGGGGGCCGGCAGCAACCTCCTATGGCCGGCAAGCCACTGGTGCAATCCTCAACAGAGATTTGCTAAGTTTGACCATAAAGGTTTTGAAGTGTACTCAACCCTGCAAACAGAGCCTCTCAAAAGCAAAATGGAGGACTTTCTGGGGCGAAAACCGAGCGCATGCATCTTCCACTTCCCGAGGCGGAGCAGTGGCAGCATAGTTTAATGCCTTGCATGTTTAGTTAGTGCGCATTTGTTTTAATTGATTAGTTTGCTAATTAGTTAAGTGTTGTAATAATTAGTAGTTTGCTAGTTATTCATTTGATTTGTAATAATTAGATTAGTTAGTCTAGCTTAGCTTAGATTAGCTTAGCTCTTATTTATTCAGACCCTCATTTGCGAGGGCACAATATTGTAATAAGTGTGCATGTGTGCGTACATGTCTTCCAACCCCGCGTCTTTCTCCTTTTTACTTAACCGCTTTTGATGGTTAGATTAGGGGCATTTTCAATTAGCATATCTTATGCTCGCTTGTTTGCATCCATTCATTTGTCATGCACCGAGGCTCGGCGCATCATTCAAACTGCATCGCAATTTCAATATTTTATTTGAATACGTGTTTAACAGCATGTTATCAAATTGAATAGTATGCCATATTAGTAGCCGAGCCTATTAATTGCATTATTGCATGTGTTGCATTAGGCATCTTGTATAGTTAGGATCATGCGTCTTTTTAACTAGTTTTTGTTTTAGCTTGGAGTACTCGATGAGTTTTATACTTTAGCATACTTGCATGAGTGTGATTGCCATATTGTCATGTTTCGCATGTTTGCCATGAGGCTATGTGCTTACTTGCTTAACTGCACGAATGCCTGTGGATGAAGGCTTTGTTGTTTGAATTGGAACGATTCAACAAATGTAAGTTTTAAGCCCACTTTGCGAAGTGGCAAATCATGTTTTAAACCCACTTGAGGTGGCAAATCCGCACTTTTAATCCCACTTGAGGGTGGCAAATTCAAACCATTTTCAAAAACAAATATGAATTGAATTTGTTCCAATTCTTGCGGCAGTCTATACTTGCTTGTGCCGTCACATAGTCATGTTAGCTAATAATCGGAATAAGAACGCATAATGTTTATAAAATATCATAACATGATTAGTCGAGGCCGATCTTTGATCGGGCGAGCGGGGGTACTCATTTCAGGACCTTCCCCTCTTGTACGTAAGTTCCCGAGCTGAGAAAACTTTGGTGATGACGGACACGTGGCCTTTGGCACGAGTCAATGTTTCCTAAATTTTTCCAAAAACAAAATATTTAAGTAGCGACTATGTATCTAGAAAATCAGTCCAATTTGGGCATTATTTGATTTAAAATCTGATTTTCCAAAACGATTTACCGGATTTGGACTCTTTGGTGTTTATCAGTTTCACATTGCACTTGTGAGACTAGATTCAGAACCGCAAGAGTCCGAATTGTAAAACTTTCTTTACAAACCCTTTCTGAAAGGCGGGGGCACAGAAAAAGGCAAGCCACACTAGGAGCTCAAATTTTACGCTTGAACGACATTTCTTTCGCTCGTTCAAGCATTCTCGCCTGCAAACCTGCGAGATACTTGGAGCCACAAATCTTTGTTCAAGCAACCAAATGACTGCTCGAATGGTCACCTAAAATCAGCTGTTACATCAGCACTACAGTCAATAGTGGCTTTGTCTATTACAGAGGCTGAGTACATGGCAGTAACAAAAGCTTTTAAAGAAGTTATATGGTTACATGTATTGATAGAAGACTTGGGAATTGTTCAGAAGAACATTGAGGTCTACTCTAACAATCAAAGTGCTATTTGTTTGGCAAAGAACTAGGTTTATCATGCATGCACTAAGCACATTGATGTTCGTTTCCATTTCATTAGAGAAATGAAGAGGATATTCTACTCTAGAAAATTAGTACTACAGATAATCCAACCGATATACTCACTAAGGTCGTATTTGGGATCAAGTTCCAACATTGTTTAGACTTGATCAATATCTCTCGCAACTAAGCATCGTTGGGTGCATGACAGCGTTGATTGCTCACTATATAGTTTGGAAAGAGAATTTTCGCCAAGGTGGAGAATTGTAAGAGAAGTTGGCTCAAACTTCTGCTCCTTCCTCCATCTACTTCACTATGAAGAAAGAAAGGACTCAAAGGCTCAAGATGGAAGATCCTAAAATCTCTAGAAGCTGCTATAAGGAACCATCATCTTGAGTTCAACCTTTGAAGGTCAAACAATGGAAGCTACAATGAAGCTTCCCGTGAGGCGGTGATTTTCGCGTCACTACATACGTTCGTCATCCTCATCAAAAACCTATAAATAGAGAGGTAGGGAATTGTATTTTGATATGACAAACATCAAATTGTAGAGAGTGGTGAGAAATTGAGTGATTGTAAATTTTTTCCAAATTTAATGAAATCAAGCTGTCTTTATGGAGTAGGCAATTGCACAACCACATAAATTTCGTTGTGTTTGTTTTGTGTATTCATATTTGAGACCCTCTGGCACAATAGGATGGTGGTCGCTGGTGAAGCATGTTCATATTTGAGACCCTCTGGCACAATAGGATGGTGGTCGCTGGTGAAGCATGGTGAACGATGGTCGCCAGTGAAGAACGGTGATGGTGGCTATAATGGTTCATCGATGCATCTCCCCTCCCTCTCCCTCTCTTTTTTTCATTTCATGTCTCTCCTTTTTTCACGTTTTGGGAAAATCAAGCTGTCTTTATGGAGTAGGCAATTGCACAACCACATAAATTTCGTTGTGTTTGTTTTGTGTATTCATATTTGAGACCCTCTGGCACAATAGGATGGTGGTCGCTGGTGAAGCATGGTGAACGATGGTCGCCAGTGAAGAACGGTGATGGTGGGTATAATGGTTCATCGATGCATCTCCCCTCCCTCTCCCTCTCTTTTTTTCATTTGATGTCTCTCCTTTTTTCACGTTTTGGGGGAAAATTGTAAGACTCTCTGTTTTGTTGAAACAAATTTGAAATTTTTTTTTTTTTTTAGCTAAAGCAATCTAAGCTGCAGGTTTTTTAGTGGGATGACGTGGCCCAATCTAAGCTATTTGGAGAGGAGCTGAACTCCTCCAAGGCCAACCCGTAACACACACACACAAACTACCTTTTGGAAAGGCAAAAATATTTTGTTCTATTTAATGACTTTTTTTTTAACAAGGATCCATTCTATTTGAAGATTGTTAAAATAGTCAACAAAAAAATTTGTTACTTACAAGTCTTTGAAAACACTCAATAATTTTCTACTATAACTATTTTGTTTACACAGGATAAAATGTGTCAACAAAACACTCTCTTTCATTAATTAAAAAGATAAATTACACTTTTCCTTTTTATATTTGGTTACTTTTTTTATTTTGACTCTTAAGATTTATTTTTTTCACTTTGACTTTTCATGTTTCAAAATTTTCTCAGTGTACTCCTAAAATTAATTTCTGTTAAAATTAGACAAAAAAAATGATATATTAATAGTCTTGTAGCATAAAAATATTGAGAATCTCCCCAAACTGCAGTGCTCATCCGAACTTGAGAATCTCCCCAGGCTAGAATGGTTTTCATTCACATTCATACCCATGCATGCAATGCAACCAAAGGAATGGGAGGAACATATTAGCCACTACGCAATGAAAAAAAAAATGCATTTCGAAAATTAAAATACATTAGTTAGATTTATTTTGAGTACATACTAGTGCTCCTCCATATTACACCAAATTAAAATGCATACCATACACTTTCATATTTTTATACACAAACAAAATGCAGACACAAACAGTACAGTACTCTTTCCATCAACATAGACAACAAGGCCTAACAAACAATTTGGGTACTACTAGTAGCCCACCCAGCCAGCCTAGCTTTGTTGTTGTCCTTCTCCTGAAGGTGGTGTAGTAGTAGTAAATTTCAAATTCAAAGTCTTTAGTAGAGCAGCGACGACTAGAGGTAGATAGATGAGCATACCAACACAAACAATAGTAGTCATCAATAGAGTTGCTCCTTGTGTGTATGGGCTCTTGCAAGACAGCCTTCCCAACCTTACCTGAATCAGATAAAACATTGAAAGCATTAAGAAAAAACAACCCAAGAACGACGCCAACACCGACAAGCTGAGGAACAACCATTTCCACCGCGTCAGACGTCCTATTCCTGGTTTATAGATCTCAAAGTGTCCATCGTCGTAAATTTGGAAATTAACTTTCAATGACTTTGCAACGAGGCTTGAGAAGAGGAAGAAACTGAACGCTACGACTTCTAGTACCACGAGGATCTTGGCCTGGAGGAGCTCGGCGTCGCACTCTGGTCGGTTCTCCAGGCTGCGTTGGCCTGGCGTCGCGTACGTTAGTCCTACGAATACCGCTATGCTCAACAGTGAATTCACGTTAACCAGGTCGTCCAGTCCACTCTTTAAAATTTCTTTTATTTTCTTTTTCCGTTCTTCTTCATCTTGCCTGCAATAACAAACAAACAAACATAATAATAATACACCGAAAGAAAGTGATAAGAACAAAGTCACTCACTAATCAGAATAACCATTAGAAAAGTAAGACGTGTGTGGCTTCAACGAATCAGCTATAGAGAGAGAGAGAGAGAGAGAGTTACCCAGGCATGTCGTTCTTGTTTTTTCCCCCCTTCTCCCTGCGATTATGTATTGTGGATTGTGTTTCTTCTTTAAAAAGAGTTCTGTTATATGAAACTCGGATTGGTTAAAGTTGAACATGTTCACTTCATTTTATAGTGAAATTATGCATTGAGGGATTAATGTGTATTTCTATCAACGATTTGAATTATTTAGTTTATATGATAAATTAAGAAGAATATGTATATAAAAAATTAGATTTATCGAAAATAAATAATCACATTATCAAATATATTATGACACATGGACGGTTTATTCTTCAAAACATATATAGCATATTTTTAAGAATGATCTAATAATACGACAATCGAGATATTGGATCAACTTGATTTTTTGCATAGATAATTTTCTTAATTAATTGTATAACATGAACAGTTTACATTATTAAAGTGAGTCCAAGTTAGTCTAACAATGGTTCAATTTTATCGTAAAATTGACATCTTTAATTTTAGCAAATCGAGACTCTTATATCAATACACATAAAAAAAAGTGAAATAAATATCATGATAAATATTATAACGCCCTAAAAAAATAAACCCATCATAGCATATATTCACGATAAATAAAAGAGTTTTCATATTACAATCATCAGAGTATTCTTACAAAAGGTATTACATGTTCACAATAAAATTAAACGCCCTATAGGCTTACAACTTTCCAAGTCAACACTTGATTACAAAAACGAGTACTAACTCTACACAAATAAGCCCTTGGCTTGATATACATGTAATACAACAAAAACAACAAAAAAAAAGTCTACAGCCTCAAAACTCATATAAACAACAATACAGTACAATCCAGTTCCATAATCCTTAACTTAACAAAACTCAACTTATAAACACTGTTCAGAACCTGGCGCCAAATAACTAAAGTGAGACTACACTCATGCCAACAAATACTACAAACTGCTCATTTTACGGAAATTGCGTCCGCGGATTCAGCACCTATGTAGTTTCATTCTCTTATGGCATTTACAGATATTTCATCCGCGGGACTCGGCACCCATGTATAGATATATTCGGATTGCATTTACGGAAATTGCGTCCGCGGGATTTGGCACCAGGTATAATTGTATTCAAATGGCCATTTTACGAAAATTTCATCCGCGGGATTCGCACCATGTATTCAAATACACAACTTGATTAGTTTCAATTCACCTAATCATCATGTAAATGTCTACAACAATCAGATTATCCATCTCCACGATAGCCCAAAGCAGTTATTTCTAAACAGATAATAAATGCCTCAACAGATATATAATTGACATTTTCAAAAGTGAGCGATTTATAAATCCAACTCCACCATTCTATCTCATAATGAGCAAATTTCATTATCCCCAACTCAATTTCATAACAAATGTCATTAATTACACTAATGACCCAAATATACCCAAGTATGGCATTTTTTCCTTTAAGCTCAATATTGACCCAAAGGTCCAAATATTATCAACAACACCAATATTCTCATCTCTAGGCTCAAGCATACATGTATAGGCTCAAAATACAAAACCCCTCTTTTATACATTTTGAAACCCTAACACCCAAAATTACCCAACTCAACATTATATCAAAAAGACTAATAGTTTATGTCAAAGACGATAGGAATTAGTAGTTATCCCTACATCGAGATGAAGAGCTCAAATGGAGGAGATGACCAAAATCCAAAGTGCTCCAAATCTAAGATTTTTCAGATTAAAAGGAAGCCCTTAACACTCTTTATCTTTCTTACAAAAAGCCTAGGTTAGAAACTCACTAGAAGTAGATCAATCCCTAGAGAGAAGATGTTTAGAGGGAGAGAGAGTTCAGATCTAGGGTTTTTGAAAAAGAAAGAGATGAAAAAGTGAAGTGTAATCCCGCTGCTGTTTACTGATATACGTATGACCTGCTCGAGCGGAGAATAGGACGCTCGAGCATCAGACACAAAAACTGGACCCGCTCGAGCGCAAAGGAAAAGCCGCTCGAGCGTAGATTTCCCCCTTCCAACACTTTTACAGACAATGAACTATCCGCTCGAGCGCCAAGATACCCGCTCGAGCGCTACCCGCTCGAGCGTAAGGAAATCTGCTCGAGCGTGAAAAACATACCTGCAAAAGTTTTGCAGAAACACGAAATGCTGAGAGTGTGTAAACCCCGCTCGAGCGCAAGAATACCCGCTCGAGCGGACAACCAAAAATCAAACTCCGCTCGAGCGCAAAGGGACCCGCTCGAGCATACCACCAAAAATCTGGGCAACAAGGAATGGGACTAAAGCTCAACCAACCTGTTCGAAACACGCCCAATACATCCTAAAACTCAAACATACGCAATTAAAGGATAACAACAAGATATACAACCACCAACTCCACGGAACCTAAGTCCGAAATACAACAATCAAATGAAAAGAAACCGGGATCGCTATAACCTCCCCCCTTAAAGAATTTCGTCCCCGAAATTAAGTACAAGTTTTTCAAAAACATGTTTTCTCAATTACCAACATTATTACAATTTAAAATTCAACAACTTGACCCATTACCGGTCATTCCATCTCTATTCAAGAGGCAAACTTCCAACATGCATTATCAACATGCATCACAAAACAAATTAAATGCCAAAATTATATTTGCATTTCTAAAACAGAGTTAACATATGTAATGTTAAAATAAACTTCCATTACAGGGCAAGTTCCACAATATTCCCATAAACCAAAACATTCACAATGTTTTACAACTTAAGACATATTTAATGCTCTTAAAGTTCATCAATATTACAAAATCCCAATACATGGTTAAACATTTACAAACAAGTCCGGATATTTCTCACGGACATCCACCTCACGTTCCCAAGTGGCTTCCTCCACTCCGTGATGTTTCCACAAAACCTTTACCAAGGGAATGGTCTTGCCTCGCAAGACTTGATCCCGCCTATCCAAGACCCGTATCGGTCTCTCCTCATACAAGGCATCCTCATCTACCTCTAAGTCGGTCCAATCCAACACGTGCGATGGATCCGGCTTGTACTTCCGAAGTATACTAACATGAAATACGTCATGCACTCCGGACAACTGCGGCGGCAAAGCTAAACAGTAAGCAACCTCCCCAATCCTCTCAAGGATCTCAAAGGGACCGATAAATCGAGGGAAAAACTTCCCACTCTTCCCAAACCTCATCAAACCTTGCCTAGGTGATATTTTCAAGAAAACATGATCACTCGTCTCAAATGCCAAAGGCCTCCTCCTACGATCGGCATAACTCTTTTGGCGACTCTAGACTGTAACAAGCCTCTTACGGATAAACTCAACTTTCTCCGTCGTTTCCCTCACCAACTCCAGGCCCAACAAAGGTGCATCACCCACCTCGGCCTAACAAACCGGAGACCTACACGGTCGGCCATACAAGGCCTCAAACGGCACCATACCGATACTAGACTGAAAGCTGTTGTTGTAGGCAAACTCCACCAAGGGCAAGTGCCTCTCCCACGTCCCACGAAAGTCAAGGACACAACCTCGAAGCATATCCTCAAGGATCGAAATAATACACTCGGACTGTCCGTCAGTCTGAGGATGGTAAGCTGTGCTAAAGGTCAGTTTAGTGCCCAAGGCACTCTACAAACTCTGCCACAACCTAGCAGTAAAACGAGGATCTCAATCAGAGATGATCGACACTGGGCCCCCGTGCAACCTCACTATGTCCCGAATATACAAGTCGGCAAGATGATCTACCAAATCTCTCACGCGCATAGAAATAAAGTGCACTGACTTAGTCAACCTGTCTACAACCACCCAAATAGCATCACCACCCCGCTGAGTCCTCAGAAGACCTACAATGAAGTCCATAGTGACATGCTCCCACTTCCACTCGGCAATAGGCAAGGGTTGCAACAAATCTGCTGGCCTCTGATGCTCGGCCTTCACTTGCTGACCAGTAAGGCACTTAGACACGAAAACTGCCACATCCTTCTTTATACCCTGCCACCAAAACTGACGACCTAGATCACGATACATCTTGGTGCCTCCCGGATGTACCGCAAGGCGTGAATGGTGAAACTCTCGGAGTACTTCTTCTCGATAAGACTCCAGCACAAACAGACGGTCTCGGTATCTCACACTCAGGTCGGGATACACAGTCAAACCCTTCTCAGCCTTCCCACTGGAGAACTTCTCTCGGAGGGATTCTACCTCAAGGTCACCTCTTTGTGCCTCTAACAATCGAGTCACAAGTGTAGGCTGTGCAACAACAGAAAATAAGGCCGCAGCCTCAATAGATTCGCCCAGAAGCAAATCGAACTCACCCAGTGCATCTAACATCTCCCACTCCCAGATGGCTATACAAGCAACATCACTAATGGGTTTCCTACTAAGGGCATCGACCACAACATTGGCCTTTCCCGGGTGATAGTGCAACTCAAAGTCATAGTCCTCAATGAACTCCATCCACCTCATCTGCCTCAAATTCAAGTCCCTCTGTGTAAACAGGTACTTCAAACTCTTATGATCCGAGAACATCTCGAATTTCTCACCATACAGGTAGTGCCTCCAAATCTTCAGGGCAAAGATCACTGCTGCTAACTCTAGGTCATGAGTAGGGTAATTCCTTTCGTGAATCTTCAACTAACGTGAGCTATAGGCTACCACTTTCCCTTCTTGCATCAAGACACAACCCAATCCCTCTCGTGAGGCATCACAATAAACCGCATAACCCAAACCTTTCTCCGGAATAATCAATACCGGAGCGGTGGTCAATCTAACTTTCAGCTTTTGGAACGACTTTTCATAAGTCTCACTCCATACAAATTTGACTCCTTTCCGCGTCAATCTAGTCAACGGCGAAACTAGTCTAGAGAAATCTTTCACAAAACGGCGATAATACCGAGCTAATCTCAGAAAATTGTGGATCTCAAAAACGCTCTTAGGCTGTGCCCAATCTTGCACTGCCTCAATCTTGGATGTATCAACAGACACCCCTTCCCCGAAAACCACGTGGCCTAAGAACTTGACCTCTCCTAACCAGAACTCACACTTCCTGAATTTGGCATACAGCCTATGGGTTCCAAGCAACTCGAGCACCACTCTCAAGTGTTCCTCGTGCTCCTCCTCCGAAGGCGAATAAATTAGAATGTCGTCCACGAAAACGACTACAAAACGATCT